GAGTGTCCAGTGTGGCGCACAATTTAGGCTTGATCGTATTTATCTCTGAACACAAGCTAGTCATAGCAGTTAGTAGCAGTTTATTGGACGGCTCACATTCATCCTTTTCCAGTGCAGGCATGGCGTCCCCACCAGCTGAGTCTGAAGAGGCTTGCAGGCCTACATCGATCGTTTGGGCTTCAGCATTGTCGAAAGGCTCCCAGAAATATCTCCACAGTAATCAGCAGGTTGTGAATTTGGCAAAAAGATGGGTTGACGTGCTTTTGAGAGCATTAAAAGATTTTCTTAAAGTAATTTTGACGAGGGACGTCTACACTCGCACATGCCTCACTAGCGCCCCCTATTTCTCATTTTTTTACATCTTTTTGTGTGTGAATATTTTGCTTCTAGAAGTGTTCGCTATGTTGATCTGCGTATGAGTCTACAAATAAAATATCTGTGATTCTGGGGTCCTGAGTTCAGTCTTTCTGTGTGGAGTTTGCATGTTTGTGTGGGTTCTGTTCGGGTACTCCGGCGTCCTCCCACAGTGCAAACACATGCAGTTAGTGGGGTTAGCTTAATTGGCCATAGGTGTGAATGGTTGTTTGTGTGTTAGCGACAGACTGGCGACCTGTCCGCGGTGTATCCTCTAAGACAGCTGGGATAGGCTCCAGCTCCCACGACCCTGCAAAAGGATACGAGCGGAAAAGAATGGATGGATGAATTTATTTTATTGTCTTTATTGTCCCACGGGGAAAATTAGTTTAGCAGCAAAGGCAACAATAAGAATAAATAAAAGTGATGGTGATGATAAAATGATAAAATGATAAAAAGACAGATGACAGTTATTTGAATTATTTGGATTAAGGAGACGAGTCGCAGTCGGGATAAAAGAAATCTGGAGTCTTTTTGGTCGACCTCGCAGGTGAAACGACGGCCAGAAAGCAACGAGTCAAACTGAACACGAGCCTTCCTCAGCACGTGTTGTTATGGCCACAGGTCCTGACAGTTTTCTGGCAGTTTATAGCAAAACTCCCAACTGGTTCTTGTTCTTCAGAGTCATGTTACCAAACAGCGAATCGCAGGCTCACAGCACTATCTCAGTATCTTTAATGACAGCAGCTGACGAGCTATAAGAAGACTTCTCAAAATCAATCATCACGTCTTTTGATTTTGACGCCTTTAATGAAACGAAGGACTCATCACAACAACCCACAAAGTCCTGTCCAACCTGCCCGTGGCCTGACTCGGTCCTGATCACTGTGTGTTGGGAGTTTACCTGACCATGTCATCAGAGGGGCTCCGTAGAAATGTGCCAAAACCACACCTTTGTGTTTGATTTTCTTTGTGTTGCTGTGACTGCCAGCTCGTCCTGTGGCCTCTGCAGTCATTTTCATGTCTTTCTGTCATTTGAACATTAAAATTGTGGCCCTCATTTACTCAATACCATTAAATAAATGGGCTTTGGGTTCTTTTTCTAGGGTACTCTCGTACGATATTCTGAAATTAACTTCTCTTTTGTTTCTGGGATCAATGAAGTTTATTCCTTAACAGTAACACTACACGCAAAAATGAACACTAGTGTCTATAGTGCAGTAAATCATGTCATACACCATGTAAAGTAGAGCATTGCAACCCTCCTTTAATTTACCAAACAATGAAAACAAAATAATAAAATGATAAAATGGCAGATTTCAGTATCCAGGCAAACCAAAAAACACACACAGCAATTTACCCACTGTACACAGAATCTCCACATATACAGAGTAAACCACCAGTGATAAAACAATTATAGTCCCAAACTAAACCTAAAGCCGGCAGAGATAAACCCTACGTTGCAGGCCTGTATTGCTCCAGTATAAATCCAAAACGATCTCCCAACCGGAAGTTCTTCACTCAATGAGCAATAAATAAATAAATAAACTCAGTACCTTGTGAAACGTGCACTTCCCACCAGATTAATCCAGGCAACAGGTTGTCTTCAGCTCCTTCAGAAACACGCCGCTCTGAATGCAGTAGCACAAAGATGAGGAAGGTCCGTGATCTCCACACGCTCCACAAGCTACCTGTTTTAGCTTCCCACGTTGCCAGAGGTACTCTGAGTGACGCGGGCACTCAGAGTGACTATCCGGGGTGTGTCCGTCGTTATCCAGTTCGGTAACGATCCTCTGCAGCTTTTTAACTTCCACAACTTGAGCGAAACGGCAGCTACAGTAGTCCTTATTAGCGAACGGCTGGGTTAGCATCGCTTTAACTCAATGCGTGCAAGAAACAAAACACACAGTCCAGCAGCTTCACGCTGAAACTTTACGTGTCATGTCACTAACTTACCGACACTGTGACTTATCTTTCCGAAAAGTCAAAACACACTTACTGATACTACATAAAAACAAGCTAACTTCTCCGGATGCTCCGTGTAACTTACGCGCCACCGCCCTCTCTCCTCGCGCTCTCCACCCTGTGTTACCTTCACAGACCATATCCCCGTAGGAAATTACAGTTCTCACAAACAATTCACAAGAAAAGAAATATCACTTATTTTAAACAGTGCAAACATGTTTTTAATCAGTTTACATGAACTTTGATCTTTTTAACAAAAAAGAAAATTTAAATAAATGAACTCTTTGATATTTATATTCTCAGACTTCACTTATCTTTTACTATTTATGCATCTTTTTAACCCGGGTTACAAAATGTTCAGTCACAGCGGCCCTGAGCCGGCACTCAGTGAAGAAGAAAAACCAGGACGTGGCAGAGGCCGCTCTCGTTCACGTAGCCGTTAGTCCGCTACACACAGCAGCTCAGAGCGTATGAGTGCGGTTAGTTATGTAAGCAGTGATGTGTTAGTGTGAATCATACGTGTTATCTGAGCGAGCATGTGTGCCCTGTTGCACGTGCACGCCTGTGAATGTTTGCTCTTCTTTGTAGGAAGACTGCGAGCACGTGCGCTCTCCTCCGAATTGGATTTCCATCTTCTGATTGCATGACATGCCTGACATGTTTCTCTGTTCTCTTGCCTGCTTTCAATTAAATCTAACAGTTTTGATCTCTTGTGCTTGTTGATGCGAGGCTTGTAATCATGTTTTCTTTCATGAATCATGGATGTTGTCTGTTTCCTCCCTCTGCCTGCGATGATTCCCCAGCTGCTCTGGGAACGCTGGAGTTCGAGCTGAGGTACGAGCAGAGCTCCAGCAAGCTGCACTGCACCGTGCTCCGGGCCAAGGTGAGGACGCTCTGCAGACACCGACACGCTCTTCTTCTCTGTTTTCATGCAACAGGAAGCTTTTCTAATTTCTCTGATATCAGGGTCAGCCCATATGGAGTAAAACCGATCAGCTGATTTACGCTGTGCAGTAACTTCAGTATATTTCATAAATGTGAAAATCCCTTTGTTTAGCTTTTTTAAGACAAGTTATAATCCATGCAGACGCTGACAATAAGAGTAATAATAATAATGATATATGAGAAAGTTGCATAAAGCAGATTAAACACAGGGAACTATGTTATATAATTAAAGTCTGCTCTCAGCTGTGGATTTTCGCTACTCATCATAAATTAAATCTGCTCTAGTTTCATGAACTGCTACCAATTAGATTCCCTCCACAGAGTGAAGAATGATGAAGGCTGTGCTGTCAAAGATAAATATGAGCTCTAATAGGATTTCTGTGCAAATTCAGATTCATTGAGCTACTTGGAGCTGTGGGTCTGCTGCACAGATTGTTATTTGGTCAGTAAATTTCACTCACACACACTTTTATTCGTCTGGATGTTGCTGCTGAGGAGCGAGAGTAATCAGTACTCCGATTATGGATCTGAGGAAGCTGCAGGAAAACGATGCACCTGCATCCTCAGCTCGTGGTCGACCCAGTAACAGTCCCAGAGCAGGTGTTAGGAGTCAGGAGGAGGTGAGATAAGAGGCGGCCGAGCCTCGGGCTGCTGAAGGAGACCCGTGTTTGGTGTGAAGAGCAGGTGTCGAGCTGGAGTCGCCAAAGTGATTCTGATGGGTGTGTGCTGTATCCAGCAAACAGCCGCAGCCTAAAGTGAGACGAAACGTGTGACATTTTCTGCTGTTTTACATCAAAAACAACATGTAATTCGTCGCTTTTAAAACCGTTCCTCAGTTTATCTACATTTTGTTTGAATATCAGCAGCGATACACATCACTACAAACATCAGACTGACAGACTCAAGTTTTCTCGTACTACACCGCTGGCATCAGGTACAAGCGTCGCCCACTTTAACCAAAACACCTCCTCGTAGGCGTTTTGCATAATTGTCCAGCCGTGTCTGACATCGGCTCGCTGAAATCTTTGACCTCTCTTCTTTTTAAAATTCCTTCAGCTGCAAAATGTTTGAAGGTTTTTCTCCTTCACACCACGTGGGATTCCTTCCTGGCTTTAAAGCCATCAAATCACCAGTTCCTGTTTTTGAGTCGTTCCTCGGTGGAGTTATTTCAGCACCACAGACAGTCATCCTGCTTAAAGCCCAGCTGGACGTGCCAGGAAAGGATGCATATTGTTGTGTATTTATGGAGAATCTGGCTATTCACCAAAGATCACTCCTCCTTATGGTAGACGATACCTGGCACAGGTTACACCGCACCTTGTTTTGGATCATCATCCGTCAGGCTCGCTCGGAGAATCATCTCACAGCTCACCGTGACTGTTCACAGATATTACAAAAGCTGGCGTAGCCTCTGCGTCTGACTGCGACAGCTGTAATTCTTTCTGATGTCAAACAGGAGGCGACTCTGTCAGATGCAAAAAGATTCCTGGTTGTGCAGAAGTCACATGACTTTCTCTGTGACCTCAGCAAACACTCTCCTGATGGGTTCATGGGCTCGGTCAATAAACCAAAGTTTATTCTGAATAAAACATTGAATGCAGTTTGTAAATTATGGTCATTCTGAGTGTGAGAGGAGAATCATCCAGCTCACTGTCTAACGAGCCATCAGTCACAATCGCTACGAGCATCTGGTACTCCTGGTTTTGCACATCTTACACCAAGACGGTGATTTCAAACTCTCGGCTTGAGACGTCATGAAGAGAGAGCTGAAAGGAAAGCTCTCCATTTCCATCCCGCCCTCAGCACGAGCCCACAGAGATGGAGCAAACTTATCTGGGTCCAGCTTGTGGCAGAAGATGGGAAAAATCAGGAATATTTATTATAACTCTTATTCTCTATTTTATTCTCTTCCTGATAACTACTGCGCTCAAACCACTCCATCCAACAGCTCCACCTTTGATCCATGTATCCAGAGCGGGGTGTTCCTAAAGATCTGACAGCTGACACCGTTTTCAGAATGCAGATGGACCACCAGCAGCTCCGTGAGGATGATGTGGAGTTACTGTAGACGTCCCAGCAGAAACTTTTTGGTGCTGATTTTACTGCAACATCAACAAGCATCAGCTTTACAGGGCTAAAGAACCAAAATCTGCAGTTCCTCTAATGTCCACTAGAGGCTCTAACACTTTATAGCCTGTCTATATTAAGGCTCAATGTTTGCATTATTAGGGGCGTGGCCTCTGTAGCTGACACAGGTGGCTGTAGCTGCTAGCTGTCTGCAGTGTTAGCGACTTTGTCGCTATATTTAGTGAGTTTTCAGACCCCCTTAGCAACTTTTTTTCTAAAAAGCGACTAGCGACAAATCTGGCGACTTTTTCTAGTGTTATTGGAGACTTATTTATGACGATTTTTTGAAGTGAAAGCGCGTATCGCTCTTACTCTCAACAAGCAGCGGTGCTTTGGCACGGTGCACCTCACCCGTGCCAAAGCGCTCACGGGCGGAGGATGCAGCTGCTATCAGGGCAGGAGATGTTCACACCTATGCGTCCAAACTGCAAATGAATCGCGCATGAGCGAAGCCGCTGCTCCTGCACTGACTGTAACGCAGTCAGTTCTTCTTTTACTGTTATGCTGTTTTGTGGATCACAAGGTTTAAAACTACTTATTGCCTTAAGTCCAAGCCCGGGTAAAGGAGCAGGGTTGGAATTGTGACATTAAAAAAAACAATAATTGCTAAAAGAAATTAAATTTGTAGTTCTAAATAAATTCTAACTGCATTTAGGACGTTTTTTACTCACTTTATGTCTCTACCACGATGTTATTTCTCTCTCCAACAACCTAAGTTACAATTACATTAGCAAGACCAATTATGCAAATTAGGCGATGACATCATTTAGTGACTTTTAGGACAGCCAATAGCGATTTTCCTTACTGAGGAGTTGGCAACACTGGCTGTCTGCTAGCTTCATCTGACCTGGACCTCCAGTCTGTGTTTGTGCTGTCGGAGCCTTCAAATGATAATAATGTGATTATTTGACCTGTAATATGGCAGCTGCGAGGTTATTGTATGAACTGTTCAAGAAGCCTGAGCTGCAGCTGTGCTGAGTGCAAGTCTAGTATTTTAGTTGCATGTTATTGGGATATAACACTCACCCTCTATGAAGCTTTATAAAGTGGGATTTGCAAACCACAGCAGGCTGTGGAGTCCAGGAAGTGATGTGTTGGTGTTTGACGCCTTCAGACATCAACAAAAAATGTCTGTGAAGTTTTATGTGTTTATAAAAAGTGGATCTAAAGAGTTATTTTGAGTGAGGAAAGAAATGAAAGGTTATGTTTGTCTGTCTCAGAACCTCTGAGTGGCGTCTCCCAGCATCACAAACACAAACATGATGGAGACGTGTTGCACACTGCTGAGGCTGTTCAGCATTGCTAACCTGCACAAACGCAGCAAATATTAAAGAGATTTCTCCTCCCTGCATGTTGGCGTGTGCTGCATGCACCGCTGCCTCAGTGTGCTGCACAGATCCTGCTCTGACTGCAGCCGTCGTCTCTTTACAGCCTCGTTTGTCTCCCTCTTGTTGTTTGTGACACTTAAATTGGACTCTGCTGTGACAGCTTGATCTGAATTATGGCGCCGTCGCTTCACTTCCTGCCTTTACCTTGTTTATCTGTCCAGAGACCGTTTGTTTGAAGCAGGCTTGTTTCGTCCCCTCGGGCTGCTGGCTTTATATTTCACGGTGAGAATAAACTCTTTGTTCTCATTAAATAAACACAGAAGTGTTTGTGTTTCACAAAAAGCTTTTCATTAGTCACACCAAAGTTAGCTTCAAAGAACCACAAACAGATTCAAATTCAAAAAGATCAACACAAAAGAACAAACTGCATTTTTCTGCTCAGCTCTGCCCGTGTTTCACATGGATGCACCTTCTACAAACTGTTTCCCCGACAAATTTCCAAACATCCCAGTTTTATTTTGGATGCATCCATAATTTCACTTTGCACGAACAAAAACCGAGAGCTACAAGGCTCAGAACGATGCTGATGGTCATCCTTTGTGCTACGAGCTGCAGCGGTTCTCACACACGTCTCCTGACCAATCAGCATCTCTGAAGCTCCTCCAGGTTTGATGGTGTTTTCACCATCAGTAACCTTCACTTTGGTCTTCTGGAGGTTGTTCTTCACCAC